GGGGGGGGGGGGCTTACAAGGGGAGGTCGAAGGCAGGATGAACACAGCGTGGATGAAATGGAGAGCCTTAACAGGAGTTCTGTGCTACAGACGAATGCCAGTGCAACTCAAGTCTCAACTGTACCGGACCGTTATCCGCCCAGCAGCACTGTATGGCAGTGAGTGCTGGCCGTGTACGCGAAACGAGTAGCGCAAGCTCAGTGTCATGAGAACAAGGATGCTACGATGGACCTTAGGGATTACACTAAAGGATCACATCTGCAATGACACTATACGAGCGCGAATCAAAGTAGCTCCAGTTGCCCAGAATGCAGGAAAAGAGGTTACGATGGTATGGGCATGTGCGCAGAAGGGATGAAAGCCACATCACCAAGTTGACCTTGGCTGTGGAGGCACCAGGCAAAAGGCCCAGGGGTAGACCCTAGATGAGGTGGATGGACAGAATCAAGGCCGACCTGCGAGAACTGGGTATAAACGAAGACCTTGACTTAGGATGACATAGAGACATCTGACAAGGAAAGCAGACCCTGCTCAAGCGAGACACATGCGAGGATAAAAAAAATAAAAAAACCTTGATTTCTCGATTCTAAGATGCGGAAAAATACAGGAACGGTACATATTAGTGTCTGATGAGGTGCGCAATTTGTGTGAGGAGGTTGGGGATCCTAGGATTTTTTTTGAGCAAAGATACATATAGAGCGAGCTTTCCCCTTTTGCCTTCAATACGACTTAGATTCTGGATGCAAACTTACGATGAGACCAGCTGATGCGAAATTTTGGACACCTTTTTATAAAGCTTGCTCTGCTTTATCGAAAGGTGCCCGGGAGCCCTATCATAACTTATAATAACGGGCTAAGCGTTGCTTACGTTAGTCTGTGTTGTGTTTGTGAATCTCTGCTTGTCACGAATTCGTACAGTGAGTTCCAGCAAAGGTCCTGAGCTGGAATTTTGGTAGTAGCACCCTATCTGCATGTAGATAAAGAGTGCGAAAGCACAAGCCGATCCGATAAGCGAAACCTGTGAAAACTGTGCGCCAAACGGATCCACGCAACTCTCGGTGCGTTTTATAAAGTGCCAAGCTTTACAACCTAATAGCTTGTTTGAACTGACTTTCGACTTCTGACCAATCCCCTGTTGACGCTTTTCCAGCGGTGGTCTTAGTCTCATATGTCAAAATAATACACTTTACTTCAAAGTCATTTCTTCAATGCGATGCACCTGTATGCCGTCCGGCGTTTCCTCGTTTTTTATATAGTTCTTTTACCCCTAGGCTTAGCATTCCACCTGTATCTTCCATGTGCAATTACGAATTCTTAATCTAATCCAATAACTGTTTCTTTAAGCTATCGTTTGTTAATTTAATCGCCCCTTGCAGTTGAGTGGAGCATGCAGATCTAATTTCTTGCACTGACTTTATCCAACTTGGGATCCGCAGATTTTGTTATTAAAAAAATCTAACTAAAAACGTTTATAAAGGCATACAGAGAGGGCAGAGCGCTAGCCACGCTCTATGGCAAACCTTCGCATCTAGAAGGAGTACCCCCTCCCTCTTACTCAGACAACATTTGAATTTCAAACTTTCTCAAATAGAGTCAGTACTTGCATCGTTCTTAAGTCGAGGATACATTAGTACATGTGTTTCTAAAAAAGCCTATTGCTCGCTACCGTTGCGAATTTGATATTCAAAGAAATAATATGAAGTGACTCTATCTTGATCCTACTTTCAAGGGTCGTGTGGAGCAGATGATCAAGGAATTTGGATAAACGCGAAAGCACCTCTTTCACAGACTATCTTGGAATTTTCAGAGATAGTTATGATCCGTAAATTTTCAACTCGTTAATCATATGATACATTTTAAAGGTTGACATGGAACGCAAATCTCTTCATTAGTTGTGCTAGAGGACACATGGATCATATAGAGAAATTTTTCAAAAAGATCGTGAGCGAGCTTTTCAACGGTACCTTCGTATTCAACCAAAACTTACGGAAGTACATGAAGTCGGCATGGCCGTTTGAGATGGGATGAGTGGTGGATACGTCACTTGAAACGCTATTTCCTTAACGCGACTTCAGAACTGAGACCGAGTTTGAAAGGGTTACGGGCATTTCCGAATGTGATCTGTGAATAGCATTGCTACATTGTCAACGGTCGTGCAAGCTCAGTAAATTGACAAATGTGGTAGCTTAGTGCCAGAGCATGGGGGTTCAGATCGACAGCTCGGCAACATCATTGCGTTTTATATACACATTGACTCTACTAGGACGCTATGTTTATGTTTGTTTGTGTCGCTTGAGGATCTGCTGACGAAAAAGGTACAAGAAGTCGCAGTAACCGGTTTGAGATGAGGTGCTGCAACGCGTCACTTGGAAGGCTAGTTCCAATAACCAGCTTCGATAGCTGCCCTCCACAGCAATTACAAAAAAAGGACAAAGTCCTGTGGTCGTGTGATCTACACAATTTTTGGAAATTATATATAACACGCAAAAATACTAGAAAGTCCAATCTGACCCTCGATACTCTGACACGACCTCTGATGACACGACCTCTGACGCAACAGCTATCATATTTGCTAGTTCGCTAAGCTTGCACAGTTGTTGGCAAAGTGGCAGCTGCTATTTACAGGGTAGTTAGTGGCAGCTGCTATTTACAGGGTAGTTCCCCCCCCCCTTTCAAACTTCTCAGCTATAGATAGCGTTTAAGGTGACGTGTCCATCATCCTTTTCATCTCACACGTCGACTTCTTGCACTTCCAAAACAATGTTTGAATGCGAAGATCCCTGTTAAAAGTCCATAATCTTTTTGAAATGGTGTCATACAGTTTATCGGTCCCTGATACATCTAGTTATAAGATTTGTGTCACATGTCAGCCCGAAACCTTTAATTAATGTTACTGTTACCAAAATTAGCTGTGTCGATAAACTTAGAACATAAGCCATGGTTTCTCAAAAACATCGTAAGCCAGCGACAGACAGAATCCCTCTCGCACTTATCCATATTCTTTGAACAGCTGCTCCACACGAACTCTGGAAGTGGGGGGGGGGGGTATGATAAAGTCATTTTATACAACTTCTTTGTATACTAAATTCGCAACATAACGAGCTACAACCCTCTTGACAAGTGTTAGATTACCCCATATTATCTGTAGTATCTTTGATTCGTGCGAAGTGCAAATACCGGCTTTATTCAAGCAAATTTGAGATGTAGCATCTTCATGTGGTCTGAAAGATACTTTTCCCAGATACGAGGACATGCTCTGAGCCAAGCCCCTAGCGCCTGTCCTCTCGATATGTTCCATAGGTGGAACTGAAAAGGCTGTTTGCGCCGCTGATGTACTGACGTTTCATTAAACAATCGCTGCATAATAACGTCCGCTCAGGTTATAATAAATGAATGTACATTTTCAAGTCGTAGTGCCAACTCAGCTCTAATGTGTCCGGATAACGTTCGTTTGTAGAGCAATGTTAAGATCCCTTGTGAAGCAATAATAAGTTTTCTTTTTGCATCCGTTTACCTAGATAGGAAATGCTTTACCAAAGTAAGCCGCAAAATGACGTTGTCTCAGTTGACATCTTAAACAATATTGTATAAGATAGTAGAGAATGATGCTATTGAAGTGTACAGTACGCCTACTCATGTGCAATCTCCTATTGCCGCTAAAGAAGCAGTGATAGGAAATTTATGCGCTGTCATTACTGCTATATTAGAGAAACGGGTGAAGTTCTAGGCTTAAGTCTAAAAAAGCATGTGCCTCGCGAATTATGGGAAATTTCACGGCACCTTCGGAACAACCTGAAGTTGAAAGACATTGTGGAAATGATTTTTAAAAATGTGCATTTCTATACATAAAAGTAAGATTTATATTAAAAGAGCGCTTGAGGCAGTCCAACTTATTTAAGACCGTCAAGATGAATGCCCAAAATATATGCTGTTTTCCAGTAGTAATATTCTATCGTCCTTGGTTTTACGAGATGTGTCTAAACATAAAAATCCTATGTCAGTGGATGTCACCCAGTTGCTCTATCGATTTTCTACGTGCGGACTTACATGGTGAATGAAAGGTTGATTCGTTTCATTTGGTTCTTATGCTGGCTGCTACTCCCAAGGTCTAGACTGGCAACATGAGAGGCAGTTCTTGACGCTAGGATTGGTCAAAATGCCTATGATCTATGTCAAGACAAGTTTGACGTCAGATCTATCAAATACCCACAAAAACCTGTTGGCCCATTTACATTACTGGAACCTAAGACATGGTACCCAAATGGCAAAACGAAAAAATACCCAAATGGCAAAACGAAAGAATACTTCGTATTTTTCGAGCTATAATGTTAGCTTGGATCACCGTGGCAGAAATGGGTGCGATTCGACCATACAAAGTAAAAGCAGTTCTAAATCAAAGTCAGAATAGCATTTTTTTAGTTGCACATTTCGCAATCAGTGAATTATAAACATGAATTCAATTCCTGTTCACATTTAGCAACAATCTAAACAAGGAAAGTATGTAAGTCGCAGTGGAGTTTCCCTATGAGTTGTATATTAGTCGGTTTTTGAGCGCTGTCAAAACAACCTTCCATATCTGCTTATCGGTCTACTGGAGGAAGTTACAGGCATTTGTTTGACCTCAAATGACACCCATTTTGGCTGCTTATTGCAGGACGAACGGGACAGAGTAGGTTAAAAACTAACTCCATTAATTTTATATGTACGTGAATATAAAGACATAGGCATGTAACTTCGGAGCAAAACTATTTTTTTTACGAATCTCACTTAGAGTGCCTAACATGCAAATTGGAAGCGAACAAATGCCTCTAATTTTGTGCGGACAACCGATAAGCAGATATGGAAAGTAGTTTTGAAATCAGCGTTCAAACACTTTTCGAATAATACACATCTCATAGGGAAAGGCTACTACGAGTCATATACCTTCCCTTGTAAGTACTACTTGACGCAATACTTGACTTGGTAATTATGAATATAGGTGTGATAGCGCTGCACAGTACCTGCAGTTTGAGAACGCTTTCTTGGCGTGTTTTTCCAAGTCGAGGAAGCGAAGCATTTGCTCAACAATTGATGATGGTTCTTTGTAACCTAGAGGAATCAAAATCATTGCTCTGTTAGTTTTTGAATTTATAATTTACCTATTATTCCTGCAATAATCACCATGTTTTGCTTGCAAGAAAGGTGCGGGAGCGCAGCATCGAATTGAGGGCAGTAACCGATTCCCTGCAAACATAGCTTATATTTTGGAGTAGGGTTTTCCGTTATGGTGCTTCCTCCGTAGTGATTAACGAGTGCGTCTGGGCGTTGTGAGACCTATCCTTACGATTTAGCGCGAAGTTAATTTTTGCAGAACTTAGCACGGGGCACCCACAATGTTTAGAATAGTTCTCAGTACACACGCAGGAAAAAGTACGGCACATCATATTGGGTGTCAAAATGAAAAAACATAAGAAAAATAAGGCAGAACGTAAAGAATACTAAAACATCATAAACATAGATAACGATGTTCGTATGCACTGAATGTGGCGGCACGCCATCTCCGTCGCACATCAGCGCACGCTTATAGCAAAATTGCCGCAAATCAATTTAAGGCTGTAGCTAGAAAGAGGGCGAGTATAAGCTGCCGGAACACTAATTCATAGGAGGATGAATGTGAAAAAAATTATGTAAAGTTCCATCTGATGAAAGAGAACAATTACAACTTTGTGTTTTTTTAGGCCAGCTAACTTTGAAAAAACGTGACATGTCTTTAGTCGTCTTTACTTGAAGCACATCTACAGAGATGAAGATGTAGAGGAGTGGGATAGAAGGCCTAGAGTTGTTAATATATGGCTCATGTGACAACTGGAAAAAATTTTAAATTTGGGCGGGGGGGGGGGAAGAGCGGGAGAAAACGCAAGAAGCAAATTTATTGGAATAATGGGTGTACAGTTACCACTCTTTGCTAAGAAATTTCTTTATCATAACAATAACAATGGTAATGATTATAGATAACGAGCTGGCAAACCCGGCTCCGCCCGGTTCTGTCAATAACGTATTCGAATCAGCACGTTCACTTACTCCCTCCCCACCTTGTACACCCTGTACACCCTGCACACCCCGCACCCCCTCCCCACCTTGCACACCCTGTACACCCTGCACACCCCGCACACTCTGCCCATCCTGCACACCTTGCACATTGTAATAATTATATAATGTGCAGGGTTGTAAATTGGTGTGGTTACGTGACTACGGGGAATGTGCACAAACATACAAATTTTCTGCTTTATATATATACAGAGATGTTTACAATTTTAATATCATAACTTGAAAACTCCGTTTCGTTATCATCCTTAGACGGAGTGTTGTGTTGTTTCTATGTCATTGGAACTCTTCAGTAAGGAGGGATGGTTATAGTTAAAATAACTCATCTTTCTATATAAAATTGGTATTGAGTTGATATTTCAAACATTAGTTATCAAACAACTGTTTGATAACTTTTGTTTCAACTGGGTTAATCCCAAATGCTTAATAAAAGGGAACTTTTATTAATATTTAGACGTTTTTAAGAATTTAGTGGCTTTTTTAGGTCCTTTTCATCGTCTAAACATATTTTCTTGAACTCCTTGTTTGTCTTCGTCCATTGTGCTTTCCACGTTGGACTCCGTTCTTTTTGGATCCATTTGTCTTGATGTAGGAGACCTCCATCGCGATTTTAGTTGATAAATGAATCTTTCCAAACGTGTCAAACTTGTTATTGAATGCATCATTCATAATCATTTTCGACGGGTTATAATTTATTTCGAATGTTTGGAATGAATGGTGGAGAAAAGTGTGTGCTTGGCCTATCAGCATCATTACAACGAAACGTACATGAGGCATCCACCAGCACATGGTCCTTTGGGCCCACATAAGCCGTAGAAATCATAAGTCAATTTGAAATATCAGATCTTGTCGATGTTGGTGGAACGGTAGAGATGTTGTGTGCTGAAGCTTTTTTTATCTTGTATGAATCCGGACATTGTTTCAGAAGAGAATTCCATTTACTGTCCGGTTATTTGTCTAGGTTTTCAGAAAGCAATGACGGTTTATTTCACCCAATCCTTGATCCACTAGCTCCCACCGTGCTACCGCAAGCTTCAATCTCCGTTGAGTTCATTTCAGTGGAAACCTGCGGAACAGTAACGTCCAAAGTGTCGTTCAGAATAATTTTGAGAAGTTACGGTTGGTTAGCCCTTTGTCTTTTGCGCGGACTAAGCCTACAGTAAGCCGTTGAAGAGGCGCTAGCGAGTACTTGAAGATCATACCTCGAGGTCTCTCTTAGAACACTCCCTATGACGTAAACTTGACACAGCTGGAAACCCAAGTGGGTGATCTTCTCCCATTGTTTCTGCCTTCTGTAGGAATTCCATCGTCACATTATCAAATTTCTTTCATAAAGATAGTATAAGTATTCTGCCTCAAAGCGGCTATGGAAGATAGGCCAAGAGGACCTAGACCCACTTTCTTTTTTGTCTGGAAATATTTTCTCGGTTTTTGTAGAAACGGTATGATGAAGTTGCCCTTTGCACGTTTCAAGCACAAAAGCCGGGAGATCCGGGCACCAGCCCGAAGAATGCCCTTAGCGTAGAGAGGTTCAACCTCCTCACGTGCCCGTGCACACTCTCCGTGTCCGGCAACTGCCCCGGGTGGGGACCCTACAAGTAAAGTTGGGTTCAACTTCTTTAGTATGATTCAATTCTGGAAATCATTTTGTCAGTAATTTTCTATAGATTTTTGAAGCTTTTATCACAAAAATGATATCCGGTCTGCCGGTGTGCCACCTGTGCCGAGTCCTGTCCGAAAAGTGTTTTTGACACACACTTAAGACACCCAGCTCGCATATACAATAGCTGGCATCCCCGATTTTATAGGAGATGGGTACAGCAAACGGTACACTCGCTCAATTAATATATTTACACTTAAGAGCTGCTGCATGACGAAGGAGCAAATACCTTTGGGCGCAAACGCGGTTATTAGCCGCAGGGCGCTCACAACGGTGAGGATACGCGCGCGCCGCGTTCGTGCCCGCTCAACTAGTACTGCTATTGCGACTTCGTAATGCAGTAGCCTTTACATTTCTGCTAACTCCGCGTCCCCTCTATTTGCCTCACTGTTTCCTCCTCTCTGCATCGCATACAACCTGCGACAGTCTTTGTAAGAATAGACTGTCTCATTGACAGACTCACGTGGAACAAAAATAACGAAGAAAGAATGGAATAGCACAAAGATTTATCTTTCCGGGTACATGGAGCTGCGCTAATTCTCCAACCAGCTTCAAAATCGAGTCTTTTTCCATCAAAAGCGAAAGCGTAGTAAGGGTATGAGACCGAAGGTTGAAATCTGAGAGAAAAAATATTTGAAAAGGTCAAAAATGTTTAACTCCCGCCGCTCACAGGCGCATGTGGGCGGCTGCAGCGCATGCAGCATAGTTCCGGCACAGTTCCACCACAATGCGAAAACTGCGCTGAAAGTGCGAAACTTCAGGGTCAGTATGAACCCAACCTAAGCGCGCACAAGCTGTTCATAAAGATTACTATGTATTTTAAGTAGGTTTGGTCAATTTATAACCGTGACTTTACGAGCTATAGCAGGATGTGACCATCACGCTTACTATGTTGTAGCTTTTCAACTACCCATTTTGAATCCAGAAAACATGAAGAGGCGATATTTACCGCATGTTTTACTGCTGCTCACAAAGGTCTATAGACATTTGGGTAGTCTTAGGTGCAGGTACCACTTTACGTGAGCACGCCATTAACTTCATCACCCACATGAAGGAAGAATTCAACAGAAAACAGAGGGCAGTGGAGAACATTTGAAGTCCGAAAAGGCTATCTGGAAGACCCGAGACACCCGACTGCAACTGCAACAACGACTCTTTATTGCAACGTTCCCAAATTCGTGATACGCAGCCAAAACTTGTATACGTAAGTCGCATGAGCTTGACGAATTTTACAAAGAACTTGAAGGAAAGTGTTGATGTGTTAATGTTCAAACAAGTCAGCATGGGATCCAAGCTTTCAATCCAAGGCAAAGGAACGTTTACAGTTCAGCTAATGCGTTTGACAAAATGAATATAGAGATTTTTACGAAACAAGAATAAATGGACTAAATATACATTAGATGAATTTTGGAAGCCTTTGTCGGAAATGGCTGCACAGATGCTGTAAGAGACCGGATATATTTTGCGCCAGTTTTTACGCAATTTGTCGATATCCGAATGCTTGTAAGTCATTTTGAGTACACTTCAAAGATACAAGATATGAGGCATCCAATGTTTTCAATAAAAAATGAGAGACATTAAGTCATGATGTGTACAATTCCTGTGACTTGATGAGTTTGCTTTGCGATTGAAGTCGAAAATACATTGGCCACATGTAAGTAATTGTGCGCGCGTGAGCTAGCTGCGTTAGCGATTGGCTCTAACTAGACTGTTAACCAGGCAAACGCGTATCGGGACACTCATGGATAACTATCTGCTCACAGTATTATCGAATTTTTGGCGGCCTTGTAAATATATGAAGACGGATCATTCCGCTTTTCTAAGCGACTGAGTAAGTAGAATGTCGAAGACGAAAAGGCTTACCTGAGTTCGATTTACGTACTGCTCTCCTATGTGGACGCTCCCATTGTTTGCGAAACGTGATCCAGTAATAATCGCGAACGCAGAAGTTTTACCAGCTCCACTCGGTCCAATCAGGCCAAAACAATCTTCGTTACGAACACCAAACGTAACACCTTTGAGCGCACAATTCGAACCGTAGTACTTCGTAAGGTTCTGCAAAGTGTTTTTACATACTGAACAAGTTTTCTGGCGTTTATCGAAACCAGGTAATTTGAGGCCATCTATCTCATTTACTGGTGAAAATGTTTTTTCAAGGTTTATAATAGTGTGTTCTAATTGAGACAAAAGTATAATGCGCATCATATCGTCGAGTCTTTTGTAACTTAATATGCGTAATGCACACTTTACATGCTAACTGACGAACTGCAAACTAGAACCTGCTCATTTCCAGCAAATTTCTTGATTCCTCGTTTCTTTTGCTTTGGTTGACTATATGTTAGCTAATAGAACACATTTCCACATTTTGTTAGGCTACAAAATTTTCACTGGGAAGTTACTAGTATAAGTGCCGTCGCTGATAGGGCTTAGCGTGCAATCTCACTTATTAAGTTACAAATGACTCGAGATCAGCTATTTTTCGGTCATGCCTAGCTCGCTTTGAGTGGACGGATAGGATCTGTCTGCAGTCTTTTTTTTTCAATCCTGACGATATGGGCGCTGCAGTTCAGCCCTGTGCTTGAGTATTGCAAGCGGCATTTTCGGTCAATTTTCGGATTGTTCACGGATCGGTCAAAGGGTCATGAAGACATGCGATTTTTACAGGATGACAACTTCTGAAATCAAAGGGTACAAAGCAGAACGAAGGGGAGTTATTGTACAAACCTTCAACGCAGAGCGACCTCCTTGTTAGTTCACAAACTGATCAGTTTACTATTGCTTACACAGTCCCTTGATCACCATGAGGTGCGAAGGAACATTTTCGTAAAAAAATTATATTATTACCATTTCCAATATAGCGCTTTCTAGTAAGAATCATGACGCGCGCTCACTAACTGTAGATCTATATAAGAACCTGGCACAGCTGGCACCAAGTCAAGCTTAAAGCTCGTTGCTGAAAAAAAACCCTTTGAAATCGCAGAAAAGTGCATTGAAGGGATCCCATGCTAGAAGTCGTTCGTCCAAATCACTCAGTCTGTGGTTAAAAGACTTGACTCTCCGAATACGTTTTCCATACAAGCTTGTGCTTCAATCGCATTCGCCTGATCTTGAGGTTAAATTGAGCTTCACCGCCTCCTCTTACATGATTGTGGGGAAGTGGCTGGTTGAAGCATGATAAAAGTTCATTTTCTCAAACGCAATAAGTTAACTGAAGAACTTAGCAATGCCGCAAAAAGTAACCTACCTTCTCCGCCGCGATCGAAAACATTTATGTGTAAGGATTCAGCTCAATCAGTTTACTGGCGAGCGTTTTTTTTTTGAATAACGAACAGATTGACGAGCATCCTTACAAAGTTTGAATTATATCCCTGTATATTTCGATTCAAAGCACAAAATTTGTGTGTGCTGGGTGTGTGTATGTGTATGTATGTGTGTATAGGCTGCTGCATGAGAAGGCGCAATGGTTTTGAGCACGAACGCGGCTTTATTATATAGCCGCAAAGCGCATGAGGTGCGGGATCTACAACGGTGAAGAGCGTTTGCGCCCGCTCAACTATTAGGTTGGTAAGAAAGTTCTCGGGCATTTTCAGAAAAGATCTGCTATTTTTCGAAACATAATGCATACACATCAGATAGGGGTACCGTTCGATAGATCAAAGCAAGCTTTACAAGACGTATGCAAAAGTTCGCACCAGCTTCGACCCACCGTAAGTTTGCACCCAAAACCTGAGTCGTACTAAAATTCAAAAAATCGCGAAAAATTCATATCTTTGTTCAAACAAATCCTACGGATCTCCAACTTGCTCATAAATACTGCGGACCATATCAGACACTCATATGCACAGTTCCTGTAATTTTTCCCCACCTAGAAATTGAAAAACGAAAATTTTGTATTGTATAAAAACGAAGCTGGGCTGTTTCCAACCATGTAATTGAATAGTACAAGCCCTTAGAAGTATAACCATAAATTTTCAGCTTTGTACGGGCTCTAGTTCCCGAAAATTACCGAGTTGAGCGCTCCTCACTCGGGCGTTCCATGCTAGAATCAATATTTTTCGACAACTAGGGCTTACGGAAAGCTGAAAATTTACGATTATACTTTTAAGGGCTTGCACTATTCAATTACATCGGTGGAAACAGCAAAGCTTCGTTTTTACACAAGCATGAAAATTTTCGTTTTCTTGATTTCCAGATGAGGAAGAAGTGCAGGAACGGTGCATATGAGTGTCTGATCCGGTCCGCATTTTTTCTGAGTAAGTTAGAGATCGTAGGATTTGTTTGAACAAAGATATGAATTTTTCGCGATTTTTTGAATTTTAGCACAACTCAGATTTCGGGTGCAAACTTACGGTGGGTCGAAGCTGGTGCGAACTTTTGCATACCATCTTGTAGAGCTTGCTTTGGTCTATCGGATGTACCTCTATCCGATGTGTATGCTTATGTTTCGAGAAATAGCAGATCTTTTCTCAAAAAGTCCGAGAACTTTCTTACCAACTGAATAATAACGCCATTGCGCCTTCGTCATGCAGCAGCTTTTATGTGTTACTACTAGTTTTTTAGGCTACTTTTTTGCAGCGATTTCTGAGTCCTTATATCAATCTGTTGAGTTGTTTCAATACATTATGAAAAAAGCACATTGTGTCTTGTCCAATCATTTTCCAGAGTTATGTAAAACGAGCGGTAAAGCTCAAAGTCAGCAAAGCTATGTCATCGAAGGCTTCACAAGGAGAGCTAATATTTGCTGCGCAAAAGCATGGGCTGACTTTGAAGAAGGAAAAAAGAGGATTAACACAGGGACAGGGAAAATTGAGTATTCTCTAATATCTCACAGATAAGTCCTCCCATCAGAGTTTAGATAGGTTCGCTTTTTTAAACTCAGATAAGGCACTTTAGATATGTCTGCCTATGAATAATTCCGTTTTCTTTTCATTATAATTACTCCGAAATTTTGTCAGATAAGTCCGAACTTATCTGTAGACGGAACTATCTGATGGGGAGACTTATCTGCAGGACTTTTGACTGTGCGAGGGTGCATTTTCATCAAATTTTCTTGTTAAAAACGCGGACTTATCTGTGAGGTTTTAGTTTAAGTGAAATGGAGTAATAAGTTTTATCGTGTCATGCTGACACGGACCGAGAGAAACCGGTTATATCACCTAGTATATACATATAAAGATTTTTACAGCGCTATCGAAGTAGTATCTCTCTATGCCACTAGTTAATCAATGCCAGTGATGAGGTTTGCTTGCATACTGCTCCCCTTATCTTTTTGCGATATATATATGTACAAAAGGAATGTGTTTGAGGTAAAGATAGACGTTCACAGAAGTTTTTGTGTTAGACCGATAAATTTTACATGGACATTAAAAATAAGAGAAATTGGCTCTTGAAGTTGGTTAAAACAATTTATAAAGTCGGCTAAATCGATCTAACTGTCCCCCCCCCCCAACAGCATATGAACTACCTGCACTGTCAGAGTAAATAACGAAGCATTGTTCTGAACATGTTCTCTTTCTTGGATGACGTCTTCACTGTCAGGAATGTTACTTTTCTGCAAGTATATAAAAAACATGAGAGTGTTTGTGTCTTTGACTTCATAAAATTTATCTAACAAGGAAATGGTCAGAAATCGAAGTAGCCAATCCATACAAGCTGCATTCCATTAGATGCAGCATAAAACGCTGACTCTAAATCTGTCTTCCCTATCTGCAGAGCGCTTTTGTGGACGAATTTATAAGCCGTTGAAAGCCATTATTTTGCTAAGAAATAATGCGTGTAAAGTGCAAACTTGGCCGTACAAGACCATTCTCGATTCAGTGTTGGACCAAAACATGCAACTAGGTCACTTCATATGATCCGCTCCTAGAGGTGAGTTGAAAGAGCAATAATGTTCCTAATTCCGCAATTTTTGTATACGTGTTTTTCGCAGTAAAGCTGCTCATAACTTCATCTACAAAGGCGCTCTGCAGATATGGAAGACAGATTTGAAATTAGCATTTTATGCTGCATCGAATGGTATACAATTTGCATGGATTGGCCACTTCGACTTCTGACCATTCCCTTGTAAGCACATTCAATACCAACCTCTACATAGGTTTTTCTGCAAAATATTTTTGTCAGCTTGTCGAGCTGATATTCATACATATATAAAATGAGCAAAAAAATACTGCCATGGACAAAAAAAGATAGAATATTTCTTTTATCTAAATCTGAGTAAGAAAATGAACAGAAATGCTTCCGATATTTTGTATCTTATATGCAAATATACAACGTTCTGCAACGTCTCAAAATATATTAGGTCATTCCAGAAGTAATGTCGCTATTTTCAAACGTACGCCACATCTCGTGGAACAAAGATATGTAAGAGATTTTGGTAGCATTTGATGCAGCATTTCACTCATTTTTAAGGGTTATAAAATAACTACTGCACAAAATTCCATTACCTCTCGAGAAATTATCAAAACCTGCGACCCATGCTTATTGAAAAGGTCAAGTTTCACAATTTTTTCAAACTTTTACAATAACCCTCGGAAGGAGTCCAAGCAATGGATGGATAGAGCAAACACTACTGGAAACAGCACAACTTTTTCCTACTTGTCAGAGCTCGTCATAATTTTTGTATATATTTTTCGATGGAACAGCCAAATCTTAGCAACCTCGTCTTAGACATAAATGCATCAAACACCAGTAGTGCATCAAACACCAGTAATCTTCGGATTTTTAAACTGAAAAAGATGGATTATGGTTTGAGACTAATTTTACAAAGCAAATGAGCATTTATCGGATCAGCAACTTTCGAAAATTCCGGGTACAGTCTGGGCCGCTTTGAAAACCTGAATTATGATATTTTTGTTCCGAAAAACTTGATGAATCGGAAACAAAAAACAACCGGTAGAAAGAAAAGGATAAGTTGCGTCGAATGACACTTGATTTGCTTGCCGGTTGTTGTTCTGTGAGGTTTAAGCAGACGAAATATGGAGTTTGATGGTATTAAAAAACTAATATTAGAAACTCTAAATAGCAAGCTAAGAAAAAGAAAAAATTACTCTATGCTCTACAAAGTTCGCTCTATCTACATGTCACTTGCTCTTCGGAGAATAGGTACAAAAATTTAGAAAAATGGCGGAACTTGAATATGGCAAAAAGCACAAGTTACATATTTTGGTAATTTTTCGAGAGCTCGATGAATATTATGCAATGACATTATAGCCACTGAAAAGAGGAAGAAATGCTGCATCGAATGCTTTTAAGATCTCCTGATAATCTTAATTCCATCAAATGTGGCGTTCATTTGAAAAAAGCGACGTTACCTTCGAAACGACTCAATAATATTTTTGGTTGCATCAAAGCCCTTTGTAATCCTCACTAAATGTTCCGTAACTTCAGAGTTACAATGCTTAAAATGTTTCGCAAAATATTCCTTACAGGAGAGAGCATCTAACAATAAGTCTTTTTGAAAAGCGACATATGCGCTTGAAATCAGCTTAAAGCATTCAAATATTTTGCCCGTAACTGCAAACCACTAATCTAAAGAGAGTTATGAACACTCTCTTATGAGCAATAATGCGATGGTTCGACCTTCTTTGAATCTTGGCATGGTCCTTGATATGGGTATTGATTGTTTTCTAGCGTTGACCAAGATGGTATTGATATTTATTAAGCCAACGTTTGGGCGTCCACGCCTTCGTCAGAGACTGGAAAAGTCAAAGACCATTCGTGATACGTCCTTCCAAACGCCTCATCTCGCTACAGAATCGATTTCTCAAGATCAGATGAAGCCAAAACGTGCATGTTAAGTCGCAAAGAGATGCTCACCTTAGAGATAACGAGATTTTGCTAAAGGCCACCCGATAGTGAGGTATACTAGCCACCACGCTATTTAAGGCCTGAGGGCCCACCAACGCAACCCGCCAACGCAAACCTCAGCTACGTAGGTCAAATTTACATAAGCTTTGGTGAAATGCGAGCTCGTTTGTTACCTATAAACACTCTTCTTTTCTGTTCAATTTTGATTTCTTACGGATATCCACAACGCCTCGAGAGTTTTGCGCGCTATGATTTCGGGTTCGTACCACAAGATCGTGACCTTCACTTCGAATGAAACGTTGGCATGCTCTTTCTGGCGGTGGACTCCCAAAGGCGTAGATGATCTTGACTTAATGAGCCCATCCAAGTGTTCTTTGATACGAACTGAGAAGGATTGTCCCGTTTCTCCTATGTACTCTTTACCGCAAGAGAGACACTTGATTAGATATACCACTCCTGTTACGGTACAGTCTCCTTCTCTTCATAACGGCGAATCACACAGTTTGGGCTAATGCAGAGGCCGTCATAAGCTCGGTTCCGTACTAGCAACCCCTTAAAGTTTTTTTTTTTGGGGGGGGGGGGGGACATCCACAACCCTTACAGAATCTTGTTGGCCCGCCTGACGCAAGCATGTTCTAACAGCTCTACTCAACTCCTCCGACACATAGGGAAGACAGAAGGGGATTAAGTTGTTCTCCGGTCGATTGGATTCATTCTGACCTCTTAGAGCTCGGGTTTGGGAGCATGACTTGATAGAGTAACAATTGCGCTCTGCCACCTGGTACGCTAGACGCAATGGGCCCCGTCGTCCTTCGGATCAGGCGCAACCTCTCTTGCCGTCCTAAAAATGTTTGCGATGACGGACTTTTTGATTGACCATGGATGTGCAGAGAGAAAGTGGAACAAGATGTTCTTGTTATTGGGTATCCGATACCGTTTCGTCTTCCATTCTCCTTTTGATAGATACACATGCACATTAAGAAATGGCAACCAGTTTTCCTGGGCTTCTCTCTGGTGAATTTCATACTTGACGACTGTTGATTCAAAATTTCGAAGCAGGTTTCTAACTTCTTTTGGGCTGGTCATACTATGAAACAGTCGTCAATGGGGAGGAGTGGCATATCTAATCAAGTGTCTCTCTTGCAGTGAAGAGTACTTAGAAGGAACGGGACAATCTTTCTCAGTTTGTATCAAAGAACACTTGGATGGGCTCAGTAAGTTAAGATCATCTACGCCTTTAGAACCACTGCCAACGTTTCGTTCGAAGTAGAGGTCACGATCTTGTTGTACGAACCCGTAATCTATCTGGCGGTGGGCTCCCAAAGGCGTAGATGATGTTAACTTACTGGGCCCATCCAAGTGTTCTTTGATACGAACTGGGAAAGATTGTCCCGTTTCTTCTAAGTACTCTTCACTGCAAGAAAGACACTTGATTAGATATGCCACTCCTCCCCATTGACGACTGTTTCATAGTATGCCCAACCCAAAAAAAGTTAGATACCTGCTTCGAAATTCTAAATCAACAGTCGTCAAGTATGAAATTCACCAGAAAGAAGCCCAGGAAAACTGGTTACCATTTCTTAATGTGCATGTGTATCTATCAAAAGGAGAATGGAAGACGAAACGGTATCGGATACCCAATAACAAGAACATCTTGTTCCACTTTCTGCACATCCATGGTCCATCAAAAAGTCCGTCATCGCGAACATGTTTAGGACGGCTAGAGAGGTTGCGCCTGATCCGAATGACGACGGGTCCCATTGCGTCTAGCGTACCAGGTGGCAGAGCGCAATTGTTACTCTATCAAGTCATGCTCCCAAACCCGAGCTCTAAGAGGTCAGAATGAATCCAATCGACCGGAGAACAACTTAATCCCCTTCTGCCTTCTCTATGTGTCGGAGGAGTTGAGTAGAGCTGTTAGAACATGCTTGCGTCAGGCGGGCCAACAAGATTCTGTAAGGGTTGTGGATGTCCCCCCCCCCAAAAAAAAACTTTAAGGGGTTGCTAGTACGGAACCGAGCTTATGACCGCCTCTGCATTAGCCCAAACTGTGTGATTCGCCGTTATGAAGAGAAGGAGACTGTACCGTAACAGGAGTGGTATATCTAATCAAGTGTCTCTCTTGCGGTAAAGAGTACATAGGAGAAACGGGACGATCCTTCTCAGTTCGTATCAAAGAACACTTGGATGGGCTCATTAAGTCAAGATCATCTACGCCTTTGGGAGTCCACCGCCAGAAAGATCATGCCAACGTTTCATTCGAAGTGAAGGTCACGATCTTGTGGTACGAACCCGAAATCATAGCGCGCAAAACTCTCGAGGCGTTGTGGATATCCGTAAGAAATCAAAATTGAACAGAAAAGAAGAGTGTTTATCGGTAACAAACGAGCTCGCACCTTACCAAAGCTTATGTAAATTTGACCTACGTAGCTGAGGTTTGCGTTGGCGGGCCTCAGGTCATATAGCGTGATGGCTAGTATACCTCACTATCGGGTGGCCTTCAGCAAAATCTTGTCATCTCTGAGGTGAGTATCTCTTTGCGACCTAATATGCACATTTTGGCTTCTCCTGATTTTGAGAAATCGATTCTGTAGCGAGATGAGGCGTTTGAAAGGACGTGTCATAAATGGTCTTTTACTTTTCCAGGCTCTGACGAAGGCGTGGACGCTGAAACGTCGGCCCAATAATACCAATACCATCTCTTATGAGTGATCGACACACTAGAAGAAGATCTCTGCATAGGGATTCTGACGGCTTTAGATCAAAGGCCACATGCATTGCCATATCTCCGAGAACGAGGCTCAAAAGAAGACCTTGAATCCTAAAGCTCCGAATTCCTGGTTTTAGGTTGTCTATTCACTTTGAGCATTTCTGCTATCTTTTACTATAAGTATCCAACAAAAGCGCTTTGCTGTTGAAGCTGATCCCTAGTAGCCAAATTTTTTCTTCGAAGTCATTTTCCATTTTTCAACTTGTAGCTTATCGCTTGGATACTCCAATACTTTGGCCGCTCTTACAAGAACCGTGCTCTGCATTGTTCGTTAGGAAATCTAAGCAACTTTAGGATGTTTTTACCAACTTTAAAGAAAGAAAAATGGTTTTGCAAAAAAGAAGGTTCGTCGACGATCACCAAGGGATCATAAAAAAGCTAGAACGTGGCTTTTACAGCATTAGGCCCCGGTCAGACTTCACGCGACTTAATCGTCGCGACTGAATCGCCAAGATTTCCATTCATTTTCATTTCACATTCAAAAATGCCGGGCTGGAAAAGTATCACAACCGAATGCAAGTTGATCAGCATGGAATGATGATGTAACAGTTGTCTCGTCGCGATTCAGTCGCGACGATCAAATCGCGTGAAGTCTGCCCGGGCCTTACGCTTCTATTTGATATGCTTATAACGAAGGGTAGTAGGAATACTTATGGATGGATGGACATCTCGAAAATCAGAAATCTGAAAGTCTAGAAATTGTAGCTTATCTTGAGCTGCTTCCCTAGCGCGGTTAATGCATGCGGCCCCAAGTTCAGTGCAGACAGGAAGCATTATGCAATTGTTAAGCACCTAAATGTTGATAGCACAGCATTCTGGCAGAACTTTATCTGTATGCAACCAGCTACAGAAGCTACGGCCCTATTTATTGGAACCGCTAACGATGAATTTGCAAACATCTGGCGAACTGCCAACTCGTGCGAATGTCGCAATTTGGCCAAATCGTGTGAGATATGCCGTCAGCTTTGAATTTAGTAATACACTGGGTCTTCCAAAAGTAATTTCACTTTTCCCAGAAAAGCGTAACATTCCGCAAAATAAGGAAGGATAACGATGGCTTTAAGGCGCACTCTATGCAGCCTCTCATCTTCTTATAAATGTTTGTTTTCTCGTTCCAATTTAACTTTTTGAATATGACCAAACCAGGATCGTCTAGGTTTTCCATGGTTAAGTTTTTTTTGTAAACTTTCAAGTCGGTTCCTTGAGCAGCCAAGGTAACCCATAAGAGCATACCCTACCGTGCACGAAACATTTTTTTTCCTTCCATCATAGCCCGTTATAGTTCTTTGACAGAATTCAATGAAAACCACTAAATTTTAAGAAGTCTGTATCAGACACAGACTCGTCAAACACCAATAAGTCCCCTAGAATTGAGGCAAAAATAAATCATGGTTTAACACTAATTTAAAAAATCAAATAAGCGTCTACGGAAATATCAAATCACGAATTTTTTAGGTGCATTTGAGGTGCGTTTAAAAACTAAATTATGAGGATTTTGCCCTTAAAACCTCCACGAACGAGAAACAAAGAAGCCCACTAGAAAGAGGATCAAGAGGTTCATCGAATGACTCCCGAGTTGCTCGCTTGGTTCCGTGTTGAGGTCTGAGTTGGCCAGATGTGGGAATTTCATACATAAAAATGATTCAAAAATTCTGAAAAGCAGACTGTAGAAAGGAGAAAATTTATTTTGTATTCTGTAGGATTTGCTTTATCCATTTGTTACTTGGATTTCCTCTAAAGATTGGTACACGATATAGAAAATCAGCGAAACTTGACTATGGCGAAGATCGCGGGTCGCAGGTTTTCGATAGTCTGGAATGAGTTGGCAAATTTTCTGGAGAGGATGAAAATCTGCATTGAAAATGCCCAAAAGCTTGTAAGGATTCTTGTTCTACAAAATGTCAAGCTTTTTCCAAAAAAAAAACGAATTTTCTTTTAGAACGACTCAAATGGCAGTACGGAATTGAAAAAAGCTCTTGCTCTTCGTTATTGTAATATTACGGAGGAGCATCAAGCACATAGCATTATTGTGAAGCTTTACCGAAAAAGTTTTAGAAAAATCCGTGCTGTGGCAGAACTTACGGGTGGTTTTTTCACAGCACAACTTTTTATGAGATTTAATGCTTTTTTAAAGGCTAGCTACAGTACGAAGAAACGCTGAAAAAATGAAATTGTTATAACATGCTTCTTGTTGTCAGTCATAAAAGAAACACGAAAGAGAAAGCGCGGAACTAGTGACCTCCAATTACTTGGTTTACACTAGCATGAAAGTTTAGCCTGCTTGGCTTCATTTCAGAGGCGAAATGTAACTCTTGATGGCTTAAAAGCATCTCCAAAGTTTTTAGTGCACTCTAAGAGACATAGACCTCGCTTCATACTGCAAATATGTTGAAACCAGCTCCATTGAAAAATATCCGAAAATCAGTACTCGTATTAGATTTTGCGTCATTCAGAGTTTGAAGATAAAATTAGAATAGTTTGAATTTCCGAGGATCAAGAATAATTTTAACTTTGCAGTAAAAAAATTATACTAAAGTCTTAAACTTTCTTGCTTACTCATTTACGCTCCATATCCTCTCTTTGTTCTTATTCCTTAATCAAACGAAAAGCGAAATTGCATGCTTTTACCATAGCAATGCTCAGATGTTTCACACTAGCAATTGTATTTTTACGAGCATTTACAATTACAACCGTAAAGTTTAAACTCTTACAAAAGCCTCTTTTTGAGAAATTTTTAATCTAGCTACCCTTATCCGGGTTGTGTGTGCAAGAATCTTTCTCAAGTGTGTTAGGTTGAGTTTTATGTTATGTCGTACAGTTACCAATATGGGAACAGCTCAGCGCTTTGGTAGAAGCATGCACAATTTTGCTTTCTCGTTTTGTTACAGGAAAAAAATTAGAATAAAGTTACTTTGCAAAATGACGAAATGATAGCTAGTGAGTGCAATATTAAGCGGAGCAAGAATTTTAAAATAAAACAGCTAGCAAACTTGCAGTGTTTATGGCCTGTCGCACTGCTTTATAGGAAGCGAAACTTGAACGCAAAACGATTGCAAAATGTTCACTGCTTGGAGCTAAAAAAGCTACATTTTGAGACGCTTCAGGTTACAATTCAGGAACCTTTGTTAAATTTAAGCATCTGCGGCGTTTGGACTTTGACCGAAGTAAATGATCTCAATATGTGCGGCTAACTTTCAACTTTGAAAGCCCTGTATTTCAAGGGAAACTATACGCTGTATGACTTTATACATTACTGAGAAAATGGTATCTTCTATACAGCAACGAAGGGAAATAAGCAAGAAAAAAATTTGAGCTTTGGACGGAAATAATTTTGGAGTGTTGTTAAACAAGGTATAGTCGTTTACCGCACGGAATGGACATCACGCGGAGCGTTCTTCACAAGGTAAAAAGCTTGCCTCACTACAACTGCGCCATTGTACAAGTTATGCTCCCGCAGCATTTCAGCCGCGTCGCGCGTGGTCCGTAACTTTTGAAGGCATTCAGTGGGCGTTGGTGAAATCCGGATGCAATACAAGAGCGCAGCTTCTGGCAACTCAACAGTACAAGCCCTGTCAAAAAAGTGGATTCTGATGCGAGAAAATTGATTTGAACGAGTTCAAAAAAGGGGGCGGCACTTTAATTCTGCCTCCAGTCGATGGAATCCCGCCCATACAGCGGCTTCCTACAGCTGCAGCAGAGCGCACTTCGTCCACTGCTTTTGAGAAGACTCTCGCATAAATGATTTTTGGGATTCTTGGATACTTTGAGGGGCAGATTACGATTTAGCAGGCCGAAGACAGCCAGAAGTGTCCAGTCCCAGAAGTGAAATTTTACCTGGACAGTGCCCTTAAGCAGTCCGTGCGGTCAAAGAATTGACGATCCTTTCAAGTGAACGAGAACAAAAATAGGGTTGTTTTGTCAATATAGGGTTGCTTTTCATACGAGATGGTTGCAGATAGATTTTTGCAAAAACATTTAGCAATGTTTCATTCAATATTAAGTCGGCTTTTGTAAGCATTTCCTGTACATACCAATCTTTCCTTGCAACAGAACTCCTTGCGACAGTGCATAAGAGGGACTCATCCATACGCCGAAGTTTCCAGCCTTGAGATGTAAATTTGACATTTTGAAAAAACTTGGAAATATGAAACTTACCTTAATGTTAAACTTTCCCAGGAGATGTGCAGTACCAATTATACCAGCGAGCTCATAAAATAACAGGAAACACATTGCCTTCTCATTTCCATTGATTATTAATGAGATAACGTAAACGAATATAAGCTTTGTCATAATGAATGTCAATGTAATCAAGCTGAAGGAGTCAAATGATGTTAACAACTTACTACCAATCTATGAGTATGGTGTATTTTTTAATGAAAATATAGTCCATAATCTGATTCATAGCCGTTGCTATCATATCATATAAACATGTCCATATTCTAGTGTGGCTCATCACAGTTGGGTGATGGAAGATGAAAGAAATTTCAAAAAGGCTCGCCCATTCTGTGGACAATTGCGAACAGCTCCACTTCGCAAAGAGTTCTATATCTAGCTGCATATGCCACCTAACACCATAAAAAGCGCTTAAAACAATGGCCAGAAAAGGCAAAGCATGCTTCATTTCGCAAGAATGAATTTTGAACTCAATGTTTGTCAAGGCTCAAGTGAAAATCTATCTACCTCGAAAGAAAAAAACAAAAAATGGTTACTCATAGAACCTGCATTTTTAGTGACTATCACATTATGGAACACTTTATGTGGATCATGATCGCGGATGTTTAGAAAGCATCTTGCAAGTGTGCTTTGCAAAATAACCTCCACACGTAAACACAGATCATATTCCACTTCAAGTTTGTCACCAATGTCTGAATGATGAGTTGAAAAGGAACCAAAAAGTGTATTAGAGGCATTGTTTTGAGCCGAAAGCTACTTCAGGAACAAATGCCTTGTATAGCTGATTCGTTGAGCCCATGGATATCGCTGCGGAGCGCGCGCCTCAAGTAGAACGCTTGCTCTAGTACAAAATCGCCATTGTACGCACCAGATCGTGCTCTCGCGACAATTCAGCCGCGCCGCGCGTAGACCGCAGGGTTCGAGCAGTCCGTGGTCAATCGACGATATGCCATAAATAACAAGGGAAGGCGTTTGAGTTGAAGTGGACCTTTCCCAATGAGATGCATATTATTTAAAGATTTTCAAGCGGTGATTTTAGAACAGTCTTTTCTGTCTTCTGACCGGCTTATTAAACAAAGCTATAGGCATTTTTCTGTTATCAAATTGCATAGTCAGAATACTTCTAAATGACCTAAATTCATAGTAAATGCGAATTTGCTTCAGAGTTACATGCCTGAACGTTTGAATATTCATTGCACAAAAAAAACCAATTGTAGTAATATTAAAGTGTTTGGTTACCTTAGTTCTGCAACAAGCAACAAAATTCAGTGCCTTTCAAGCCGAACAAATGCTGTACAATACCGCTTACAGAATGTGCAAAATTCCCGTGAATGTCGCGTTCCGCAAACTTCGCGGAAGCCCGCAAACCCAAGTTACGCAGCGCCGTAATTTCCTTTGAAATGAAAAATCTCGAATCAGAAAGCAGCATTGTGCTCAGCTCGTTAAGGCGGACCTTATGACACACAATATGATATGCCTCGATATTCCGTGTCCAGTTTTCTAAAATTTTTCTGATGGTCCTTTTGTAAGGACTGTAACGCAGCGCCTATTCAACGCAAAGGATAGAATAAGAGCATTCGATAATACTGTTCACATAGATTATAATGAACTAAAAAAGCCGCAGATTTTTTTTAAAACAGATGGAAGCCTGGTGAATTCTAAAAAATTCACGCCTTCCCAAGTTTTACTCGCCCTAGCTTTCTTCAAAATCTTTGGAATCGAATAATCTCTAAATTCGATAAAGCTCATCGGGGCAAATCTTTCGATATACAGCATGTCCTTGATATTCCGAATTCAGTATTCTCGAATCTTTTTGTGGACGTCTCTTCGCAAAGGTGTCAAGCGGCGCGCATTGCCCCTAGTAGATCCCAGCAAGGACTTTTTCGAAAGTACTGCTTTTGCACTTATAGTGCGTTAGAAGGTAGCGGCGGACTTTTTTCAAAAGGAAGTAAAAGAACTGGTGAATTCTGAAAAAATCATGTTGGTCTAAATTTCTCTCACCATAACCCTAAAATATGAAGCTTTCTTGTTGAAAAAATCTTGTTGGGATCCACTAGGGAAAATGCGCGTTGCTTTACACCTTTGCGAAGAAAAGATCCATAGAAAGATTCAAAAATACTAAATTCGGAATAGCAAGGACATGCTGTACATTGAAAGGTTTGCCTTGATGAGCTGAGCACATTGTTTCCTTCGGATTCAGAGATCATCTATTTCGAAGGAAGTTAGAACGAATACAGTTGGAAGGCGTGAATTTTCCAGAAAACACCAACCATTTTTTTTATACAGAGGATATACTACGGCACTGCTAAACATGTTTATAGTAGAAATAAGGAAAATCTCAAGATATCGAGATCTTTGATAAACTCGCGAGCTAGAGATTATCAAAAAATTTATAGCTTTTAAACTGAAATTCTCCTTTCGAAAACGTGCTCAACAATGCCGTAGTAATCCTCAGTACAAGTTTGCAACATTTTCAATAATTTTTTTTAAAGACTTTGGAAATGAGAGGTGATTTTTTGGGGATCCTTGGGGATGCGAAAAACCAACCTCCTATGGAAGTGACCTTGCATTCATTTGGAGCAGATATAAATGTATGAGAGCCTTCATGAGCGAGAAAGAGAAAGAAGAAGAACGATACGTAAAGTAGCAAGATATGACGCGTCCCCTCAGATCCCCTTCTCTCCCCAAAGGGGATGTACGTGCATACGCGTGTTAAAAAAAAGTTTGCTGCTACTTTCTAACGCACTATAGTTTATATGAACAGTACTATCGAGTGCTAATTACCACTATCTTTTGCGTTGGATAGGCGCTACGTTACATCCTTGCAAAAGGACCTTTGCGAAAAAATTTGAGAAAACTGGAAACGGAATATCAAGGACATGCTGTGCATTACACCTTAATGAACTGAACACAATACTGCTTTCTGGTTTGAAATTTATTCATTACAAAGGAAGTTTACAGCGCCGCGTATTTGCGTGATTTGCGTAATTCCGCGAAATTATCGGAATTTCGAGATAATCTCGGAATGTCGCGGAATCTGGGAACGTCGCGGGCCTCCGCAGAATTCCCAAAATTCCGTGACATTCACGGAAATTTTGCACATTCTGTAAGCGGTATTGTAGCATGTTCGCAATTCGCATTTCGAGGCGGTCACTATGGTATACACCTTACTGAGTTAGGCCACTTCAAGTTAAATATCCTTCTTCGAGTAGCACACAGTTCATAAAGGCGATCAGACTAAATGAGAAGCAAAATAATTATATTGAAAGCTTTGAGGGCTAAAGAAAGCTGAGGAAGTGCGATTTTATTGGTAAATAGACTATATATTGAAACCTGAACTTAATGTATGCAATAACCTAAGTTATTCACAATTTTTTTTGATCATGTCTAAGACGACTGCAGTTAAAGGACATAATCTTGAGTCTTTACTAAACTGTCGTGTAGGAATTTTTCAACTCGCATTTCGTTGTATAAAATGTCATACAATTTTCTCTTACAGAAGTGAAGGCTGTGTAATCAAACCGCAACCGCAGGACTCGGCACAGGTGGCTTGCCGGGGTAGGATTGGTTTTGGTAAAAGCAAAGGAGATATCGTTTTTGCGGAAGAGCATACCGCTGTCTTTCAACCTGCTGCCGGCACCCTGCCGGCATGCTAGCAGCATAGTCTCCCAAGCAAACAAAGGGCTTGTTTAAAGCGAAATGAAAATAAAACGACACAAAATGCTTAGACACTAAGAGCCGCCGAACCGCGGCCCTTTTCCGGCTGGAATTTCTCCCGCGGCTTCCGCCGCTCGGCCGGATATTGAGTCTAGGCCAGCCGGCGGTGAGCCTCGGCTCGGCCGCAAGTAAGCCTCGGCCTAGCTGGAGCTGGTGTCGCCATAGCGCAACATATTACGTAAGAAAATACGCAGTATGAAAACAAAAATTATGTCCACCGATATAACAGCAGAGTCCGACTTCAATGTTGGGTAACACCAAGATGCTATCAAAAATTGTTCATAAGGTAACGTTCCTACCTCGAAGAACATCCAAGGCTATTGAGGGCAGCCTGACCATGCGCCGTACATCATGCAAGTATCCTTTTCACTCAAACATCTAAAGCGGCCGAGCCGCGGCCTTTATCTGACATGGGCCGCGGAGGTGTTTACACGGATTTTGGTCCGCGGCTCGCCGCTGCGATGCTCCGCTTCATCATTAAGAGCCGCGGCTGAGCCGGTGAGCCAATTCCTCCCCGCGGCTCGGCCAGTGCAATGATGACACGAACAAACGGACGCGGGTCCGCTGCATTCCGACCATTCCCCAAATTAAGGCCGCAGACGGGCCGGAAAGGCCTTTTGGGGCCGCGGCTCGTTTGCTCCTAATGTCTGAGTGGGTGTGTAGTTGGGCAATGGGAAGATAGCACTATGTGCAGAAAAATTTTGGAAAAAGTTATGTGAACTAAAGTTGCGGCGAACTTTTTTCGGAGTTAAGTGGCTTTACAGCCACCTGGACAGCCCCCCGAGGTGGCTGTAAAAAGCAAATGTCATAATTTTTTCCGGCTTCACATAAACAAACCCTTTTACATAAATGTACTCTACATTCTATTGCCCATCTGTTCGTTCCTCAATCGCTCCAGGCTTTCTCCTCTTTGTCTATTCACAAGTTTTCAAACTTTTTTCAGCGCGATTTCGCAGGCTGCTGCAGCGCCAATCAGTGCACTGGCGAGTTTTCACATATCTTCCCAATGTCAAACTGCGGAATGAACTTTTGTTGTTTCCGTATATTCATCCTGCTAAATATTTTCTACCTCTTCTTATTGTCTGTATTGGCAACTCTTAAACACACTCTCGGTGATCGATGGTCTAGATTGCTTCCCTCGCTTCATTGTAGTGCTGTTTGTTTGCTGCCTTACCTTTGCCATTTCCCTATACTTTGCTACACAAGCCGGAAGACATGCTTATAAACTTGTAGCAGCTTTTCTTAAACATGTGATCAATTTTTTATTAAATTGGCACATAAGTTTTGCAACTTTTCTCCTAATTTTTTTCCGATTTTATGTAGCAATCTCATGTTGTGTCATCATGTAGACCTTGATGTAAGCTGCAAGTCTGCGCAAACCGTTTGATTTTGATAATGTAGTACAAAAAATCTAAGCATTTT